TAAATCTCTTTGACTCACTTAATCAGATTGCCGTTAACCTAGTTTTTCGTTAATTTACCCTTTTCTTTTCTAAACAGTAATATTGTCATTTTTCACTTTATATATTTTAACATTTGAGGGGCGGAAAAAATTAGGGCCGCAAACATTATCCAGGAAATAAATGCTGCCTTTAGAAAGTACAATTTAAACGATTGCTAATTTGGGGAATCATCTACTTTAGTTGGTTCATAATTTCTATTCCACAAAATATAATTTTTTTTTTTTGCTTGACAAAGACGCACTTAATGAACTAGCCCAAACATATTTACTTATATTTTTTATGAAACATTATTAAAAATTTACATAAATATGTACATTAGGTTGATTTTTATTGCGGCGACTATTTTGTGTTTTGACTCCCACCCTTTTATTAATATTAAATGCTCGACCAAGGCGTGCAAAGATTTCCCGTTCAAAATACACGTAAACTTTGATTGTTTTTCTTCACAATTCTATAGGTCAGAGGCATTTTATGGTATAACCCTGGTCAATGATGGGGTTTCTTCAGAATTGAATGTTCTACAAAAGTTCAGTTGAAATTCCTAGTCTTACCGCGTGAATACCAATCGCACCATGGCCTGTCAGAACTCCCATCACTAGCCCTTCAGATGTTATGTGTTTTTCGGCACCTTTAAGGGGTAGCGATGGGTCACTCGTGTCTTGCGCTGCAAGAAGTATTTTAAAGTGCCCTATGTTAGCATTTACATGCCAAGTGTAGCCAAGTCCTTCTCCACCTGGTCTTTCCATCGCAGTGGGGGCCTCCCTCTTCCTCTGCTACCACCAGCGGGTTCCGAGTTGAATACTCTCAGAGCTGGAGCGTCGGAGTCCATTCGAACCAAATGGCCAAGCCAGCGGAGCCGCTGTATTTTAATTCGCTGCACTATGTTTATGGCGTTGTAAAGCTCATAAAGCTCATCGTTCCATCATCTGCGGTACTTGCCATCGCCAACGCGTAAAGGCCCGTAAATCTTTCGCAAAATCTTTCTCTCGAATACTTCAAGAGCCGCCTCATCGGATGTCTGCGATTGTTTGCAGATCCCTTAATACCAAAAGTAACTTGATGTTAAAACAAACTACGTACATACTTACCAGTTAAACTACCGTTGACTTAACGAAACCTTCGATTTTGCAAAGAACGCGAAGTTTCAGCTGAAAACATAAATGGTGTTCGTTATATCGCAAGAAAAATCAATAGGGGTATTCACGATCCTACGCATACTGAAAGTTCGATATACTGGACGTCTTCTGTACTTTGGCACTGGTACTGGTACTTGTACTTGGTTGTTATAGATCTGTTTAAATAAAGATACATATACACATAATTTATGTGATATATATAGGTTAAGAAGGTCGAGTTCTCGAAGGAGTAAAATTAATCGCTTGGAAAACCTAACGTCAATAGAGAGAGAGCGGCAAGCGCGGAAAATTTAATCTTGCCATTAGAGGCCCAATAAAATATTTTTTACTCATTCGAGCATAATAGCCAAAGATACGTTCGTATGAATGCATAAATAAAAATAAAATTACATGTGTATGTATGTATGTATGTGCATTCATACTTTTAAAAAGGAATTGTAAGTTGCTGGGGTTTGCGTGATGTTGTTCATAATGGTAAATCATAAGCTGGTGTTGCCATGCCGAGATGTTGCCAAGCATTCGTCGGGGTATATGGAGTACTTTGCAACTTACGGCCAGCGCAGCAACAAGGGCGCCGGGCGGGCGGACTGTACGTGCAGTATGTAGTTGTGGAGCAATGCAAAACTTACAAGCCAGAGCCACTGCAAGCTGAGGTTGTGCTACAAATATATATACATACATACATATGTGTGTACCCAGAAGCAATTTTGTCAAGGCTTTCCCTTGGTAAGGTATTACAGAACAGCAAATCACATCCAAACATCAGTACGATGGTCCTTCTAGAGAAGTGTGTAGGCAACGTGTTAAGCAAATAAACTGAAATGAGCTACTCAACATGATACAATAATTTTGAGAAGGTCGTTTCACTTCTTCTCCTTTTTATCCGCCATGTTAGCTATCTGACAGAAAACGTGTTTCGTAGTTTTTATTGTACCAACCATGATACAAAAAAGAAGGTAGTTTCAATAAACAACTTTTTGATTAAAAAGAAGATATTTGACAATTGCTCAATTGTGAAAAATTCGAAGCGGCATTACCCAATTGTAAGTTTTTTGGTGTGGGACATTTTATATTCTAAATTTGGGATTATAAAGTAAGTAGTTGTATTAATATATACCTTTTAAAACTAATCAATATCTTATTTTGAAAACGTTTAAATTTTACATTAAATTCGATAACAACTTGCCAAATCATTATTTTAATATTAATACAATTTTAGTGAACATATTTTAAAATTATGTTAGTGTCCTCATGTCATCTCATTAATTCACAATGTAGTTTTCTATATCGGATACGTGATTCTGATGTAATTCTGAAATTACACATTTACACAAATTACTGAAATTACACATTTCGATTTGTCCATTTAACAGCAATGGAATTTACTTTGGAACTCATGGGCCGTAAAATTTTTCTAGCAACACATATTGTTTTCACATACAATTTTGACACACCCAAAATTGAAGGATAAAATAAATAGATAAAACCAAATTTTCAATAAAACTGATTTGTGTAGTCCAGGGTCGTCTTTAGTAAATTTTTTGGAGGCTGTTTTAACATATCCTATCTTATTATATATTTCTTAGCTTTTCTACATTCTGAGAAGTTGAGTAAATGAAGTCTAATATTCTTTTTTGGTCAACTACGATGTTTGATTTCATTTTTTGCAATCATTAGTTCATTTCGCTTGAGGAGTCACAATGCCCATACCGGCTTTTTTTGAAATTTCGGACACAAGTTTTCCAATAATGGTTATAGGCTAAAACAAAACCGATATCTAAAGTGCGTGTAGAACCTCCCATAGAAATCGAATTTTTCATAGTGCATATCTCTGGAAGTATTTGTGGTAGAGTCCTGGAACTTTGTATGGATATATGTATATGAAGTCAATCTTAAGCTCATGGAAAAATAAGAGTTCATTGGAAAATGCGGCGTGCCACCGTAGAACTAGGAATAGAGGTAAATGAAATCAATCCCAAACCTATGAAAAATGGGGGTATATGAAAACAATCTCGTAGCCGTTCAAAAGAGCTAGCGGTATAAGCCAAATAAACTAAAATTCTGGTGACGCATAAAAACCTCTGGAAGCATTTACCTAGAATACAGAGATAAGGTATTTTTCCAACGAAAATATGTACAGAAAAACGGGCGCCACACCTTCTGGAAAGTAACATGATCACAGGGTGTATCCCGAAAACCATTTTAAGCTAAACCTTCAGGGATTATATTCTTGCCAAGACCCACAGGCATAAGCCGAAATTGCGTCGCAAGTTTTATGATCGGCTTGGGTAAGGTTTAACCACTTAACCCCCCTTTGTTTTCGTCGCTACTGAATTCTATAAACTGTCAGCTTTCACACAATTTAAAATATACATGTGTATTTAAAAATGTCATGAAAATTGTGTTGCTAGCTTCATGTTGCAAAATGTTTCAAGGAAATGTTGTGGAATTTCACACTTATTTCTTGTTTATTTCTTATTATGCTATGCTTAAGAACAAAATCATTATATAAATAGGCAATCATGTTTCCTTTACACCCCTTTTACGGCTAAACTATACTTCTAAGGTATAAACAATTATATATCATTAGAAAGGTATTTTGATGCTGATGTGCAGGCAATTTTTAAAATTTCAAATCAGTTTAAAATAGAGCGAAAAAATCAATTCAAAAGTCACACCAATACC